GATACTACTACAGAGATTTTGCCGCCGAATCCACCACCTGCATCCAGCCCAGGTCCTAGGGGTGCTCCGGCAGCCATTTTCTTAAGTCAGAAAACTCCCAGTTTCAAAAAGAGGTGCGCTGAGCACCCCTGGGACCCAGGCTGGACACGGGCGATGGATTCAGCAACAAAATCCCTGTGATAGTAACTGGATGCCGCCTGAATTAAGATTAAAGTCGGGAGAGGTAAGAAGGTTTATTTTAGTGGTGCAATAAGCTCCTGAATTTAGCCCAGCATGTTTGCAGGACATTTACAGCCAGAATTCAAACCTGTTCTGTAGAAAATATATTAGGAGAGATGGCTTCTAGGAAAAAAGCTTTATTACGTGGGGGAGATAAGCCCTAGGATTTCAGAGAAAATGCCTACCAGACATTCACAGCCATAGCCCACAATACTGAGGAACATGTTTTTAGAGTCACATAAATTCAAAGTCATAGTTGTTCTAGAGCACACAATCTGGAGACCTCTAGATGTTTCAGCCTACAACTCCCATCAGCCCAGACAATATAACTAATAGTCAGGGGTAATAGATGTTGTAATCCACCTCATCTGGATTAACTATTTTGGGGAAAGATATCTAGAACCAGCACTAGATAAGACCTTCACCTCCTGGAGTGATCCTATCAGTCCTTGATATGTGCAAGTCTAATTAGCTTCTAAAGCCATTCTGGCATAGATGGAAATTAGTCTGTTTTCATGTAGACACGTTTTGGGGAACATTTACAGCTTCTCTCTCCTTCCCTAATCGCTTGGATATTGATTAAATCATTGACACAGAAGTCTGTGAGAATCCAAATTTTCATTTAAATCTTCATCATGACATTATAACAGAAGCTTGATAAACTCTGGCAAGAAGCATGAACCAACAGCACTCGGATGCTTGATGAAGTTTCCAGGTCCCTAGTGAACAATTTACCCTATGGATATTACAAGAACAAAACTATCAGAAACACAAAGGACACTTACTCCTACCGGTAGATGAACACAACATCCAATGCTGCTGTCACTTCATTTATATTTCACCATGAATGGTACCTCCAGCACCAATAAACTTTTTTTCTTTTTCAGGAAAAGATAGAACTCAAATGTGTATAGTTTAGCCTTAGCAATTCAGCCAAGGGTGCCATTTAGGAAAAGGTCAATCTCTCCACCCTTTGTAATTCAAACCACCTGTCATTCTCAAAAAAAAGGTATTATGCTTCTGGCTAATTCACTAGTTCACTAGCTGGCTAATTCAACAGACACAAAATATTGTAAACAAGTTAAAAGAACCTATCTTGTCAGCTGCAGCAGTGCAATCTTGTGGTTGCTTAAGAAAACTGAAAGCTTATGATATAAATTATTATGTCTAAGAGGTCTGTGCTATTTTGGAATAATTTTTGTTGCTTTAAAAACAAACTTGCAACTGTTCACTGATATTCATATTCCAAGATAAAGAGATTTCACTGAAAACACACACATTTTAGAAGTTTTATTATAAGTTATTCAATGAATTTTAGCAAGAGGCAAGACATTCCCTAAGTATTAAGCTCATCATTGTGATTATTACTAATAGTTAATTATAATTAAAACATATTTTGAGTCTTTAAAAATACTTACATTTTTCCCCAGGCAAATGCCCAAAAGGTACTAAAATTGATTTTGAAAACAACAATATATGCAATTAAACTATGTGTTGTAGCTGAATAGACTGGTCGTGCATCACTTTTCCAATAAATACTTGTTTTACTCCTCCTACTAAAATTGAACCTTCTGCCTAGCCAATAAAAAAGAAAGGACCTTATATTCTACTGTGTTTTACATTCCCACAAATCATGCCTTTAAAAAATATTGCTTATGGATCTGGACACAGATTTGTTGCTGTTGTGTGCCTTCAAGTTGTTTCAGAACAATGTTTTCTTGGCAAGATTTGTTCAGAGGTTTCTCATTGCCTTCCCCTGAGGCTAGGCTATGTTAAATCTGTTAAGAGCAAAATGAGAATACCAGAATACTGCCCATTGGTATGGAAATGGCCTGTTCAGTTTACACAAGTAATAAAATAAACTCTTACCAATGAATCCTAATGCACCAATAAACCAAGCACTTTGGCTGCATCTGCACTGCAAACACAATGCAGTTTGGTACCACTTTGACTGACATGGCTCAATGCTATGAGATTTGTAGTTTTGTGAGATATTTAGCCTCTTTGTCAGAGCTCTGGTGTCATGTCAAACTTTTATTTATTTATTTATTTATTCATTCATTCATTCATTCATTCATTTTATATCCCGTCGTTCTCCCCAGAGGGGACCCAAGGCAGCTCACAAATAAAATTCTAAAAACATATTACAATAAAACAGTTAAAATCTCATCTAAAAACAATATAAAGTTACAAACATTAAAACCACACTAAAACCATGATATGCACCCTATATAACAAATAGCCAAGCCATCCCATAATTATACATTAAAAGCCTGCTTAAATAAAGCCATTTTTGCTTGCCACCGAAAACTATAAATCTCAGGATTCCATAGCATTGAGCCTTGACAGTTAAAGTGGTGTAAGAACTACATTATTACTGCAGTGCAGATGCAGCCTTTGTAAACATTGTTCAGTTTTTCAGAATACTGATCCACTGTATCACAAGCAGCTGAAACTGTACTTAGAAATCCCATTCAGTTCAGTGGGACGTATTAAGGATAAGAGTGCAAAAGGCTGCAGCACTGGTTTTGTCAATTCAGTAGGGCAATTCATTATTTCTCCAGACTCCTGAATAACTACACTGGACAATAGTGTAGCTTTTGGAAGAAAGTCCAAACCACTATCAAGAATAAATTATTTTGATGAGTAAATTTGACACAGAATTGGTATCTGCTCCTGTTTTTTCTATACTTATAGAAAAGAGAGAAACAAATTATTAGAATCCTATTGTGTATTCTAGTTCAAGGCACACACATCTGTGCCAGCACAGGTTGACTAGATGTCCTAACCGCAAAGGAGGACAAGGCACCACAAAATGTAGGAACTTCAAGAAAAAATGAGGACATGACCAAATAAAAGCTCTAAAGACCCACTTATATAAATGTAAATCCATGCTTCTTTGCTATGGTCAAAATGGACGACACTTTTGGATTCCTCCTGGACAGAAGGCTGAAATGTAAGACATGTCCTGGAAAAGGAGGATGCCTGGTCACCCTGTGCCAACATGGTCCTTTTATCTCTTCCCTCCCCCTGCTGTTTCATTAATTTTGGGAAACACACACACACACACACACACACACGTGTGTGTGTGTGTGTGTTTCCCCAAATTAATGTATATACACACACACACATATACACACACATATCTTCCTAAATTAATGAAACAGCAGGGGTGAGGGAACCCCAAATATATATTTGTTTATTTGGGGAGGTTTTTAGGAGGAGGAGATGGAGTGCTCAAATTTTAAATAAAGGAAGTGTCTAGTTCAATGTTAGGATGGTGCATTAAATCAAATGATTTGTTTTTAACATATTTTTCATTTTAAAGCATGGCTGTTTTAACTTTTAAAATTGTTTGGTTTTTTTACATTTTTTTATTTATACATTTTAATGCTTTTGTATTGTTTTTCCATTGTATTGTTTTAAATTTGCTGTTCACTGCCTTGAGTCCCTGTAGGCGAGATCTAAGTGAATAATAATAATAATAATAATAATAATATCATCAACAATAATGAGAGCCAGCATGGTGTGGTGATTTGTGTTGGACTGTGACTCTGGAGACCAGAGTTTGATTGCCAGCTCAGCCATGTAAACCCATTGGGTGACCATGGGCAAGTCACACTCTCTCAGCCTCAGAGGAAGGCAAGGGCAAACCTCTGAACAAATCTTGCCAAGAAAACCCAATGGCTTAGGGTGACCATAAGTCAGAAATGACTTGGAGGCACACAACAACAACAGGACGCAGAAGCCAGACTGGTGTAGTGGTTTGAATGTTGGACTATGACTCTGGAAACCATGGTTCAAATCCCACCTTGGCCACATAAACCTACTGGGTGACTTTGGGCAAGCTACACTCTCTCGGCCTCAGTGGATAGCAATGGAGAACCTCCTCTGAACAAATTTGCCAAGAAACCCCCATGATAGGGTCACCATAAGCAGGAAACAACTTGAAGACACACAACAAACAAACAAGCAAACAAATAACAACAACAGCAAAAATATTCTTGAACCAAACACTACAAATCCGTTTTATCTCTGGAGTTATCAAGACTTCAAAGCTTCAGGAGTTTAGGACTCCATGATCTCCCTGAGGCCAAGCTAAGAGTCTGGAGTCCCACCAAGAAAAGCAAACCAAAGACTGCAAAGGAAGGCTTCCATCCAAGGTCTTCATGGAGGTCATGGGTTTTCAACATCATCCCAACCACACTACATAAAGCTAATGTGTTCACTTTACATGTGTCCTACATTTCCAGGACACGCCCTACATTCCCAACCTCCTGTCCAAGAGGAGTTACAAAATGCCCTGCTTTTTGAGCATGACTAAGAAGCATGCATTTATATTGATATGAGTGGGAGGGAGGGTTTGCTTTTATTTGGTCATGCCCTACATTTTTCTTGAATGCCCTACATTTTGTGGTGCCTTGTCCTCCTTTGCAGTGAGGACATCTGGGATGCCCCCAAAGGGGATTTTATTTTATTTTATTTTTTGGGGGGGGATGATAGGTTGGGAGGCGCTGAGATAAACTTGGAGAGGGAAAAAGGATGAGTTTGGGGGACTTTTGTGTCCACCTAAAAACATGTGACTGGCTTAGGATTTAGTCACAGGGCACAATTCAGCGGGGAAAACAAAAAAGGTCACTCATTGTTGTGTGTTGTGTTCTGCTGTGTGCCTTCAAGGTCAACCTCTCATGGGGTTTTCTTGGCAAGGCTTTCTCCAGAGGAGGTGTCTTCCCCTGAGGCTGAGAGAGTGTGACTTGCCCAAGGTCACCCAGTGGGTTTCATGGCTGAGCTGGGATTTGAACCCTGGTCTCCCGAGTTGTAGTCCAAAACTCAAACCACTACACCAGGCTGTAAATAAATAATAAGAATAAAATAAGAAGAAACCCTGTCTTCTCACACGTTCATGAAACGTCCTCAAAGGAACTGGAGAAGAGAGGAGGCCAAAAGGGAGTCTGGTCACCAATTTCTTCCTTTCCCTAAGGAAAGGGTGACCAGGCACGTCCTCCTTTTCCAGGACCTGTCCTCCATTTCAACCTCCTGCCCAGGAGGAATCCCAAAACGTCCTCCATTTGGAGCAGGACTGAGAAGCACCAATTTCCATCTATAGAAACTGGGCTCTTTGAGCTTCTCTTGGGTCACCTCCTCCATTTTTTCCAGAAGGTCCTCCTTTGGGGGTGAGGAGGACTTCTGAACCCCCTTGAACCCAAGAGGAGACCAGTCCCATCCCACAAAAAGCCCCATACAATTGCTTGGGACCTTCTTCTGGAAACAAAGCCTGAGAAAGGAGGGAAAAGTCGAAAAGAAGGGGAGGGAAATAAATACATTCTTAAAATCCTCAGGTAAAAGAGGCAGCAACTTTGTTTCTGGTTCTTGCCTCCTTCGCCAGAAGGAAGAAGGAACATCCTAGACTTGTTCTTGAATGCGAAGTTGCTACTGAGACTAATTAAAAGGCTGCATCCACACTGCAGGGTTAATCCGGTTTGGCACCACTTTGAACTGCCTTGGCTCAAGGCTAGGGAATTCTGGGCATGGTCGTTTGTTGTG